AATCTTCAGGTTTCAGATAAAAAGCACATACTGTTCTCAACTTAAAAAGCAGTCTAGGATCCAATAATCTGAATTAATTCATTGTTGATTATACTATCACTAAGTATACTATAATGGGAAAAAAAAGACAGAAATCAGGTACCATTTTCTGTCCTGCTTAAATAAGGGCCATAGAGTGTTCCCCGATCAGAAAGTAATGGCTTACAAGTCTGCTGGTTTTAGAGCACAGATACATTTGTCTTTATACACTGTTGTCATTTATGAAAGTATTTCATGAATTTTAGATTCAAAATTCTAAAAGTTCTATTCTTAAGAGGTAAACCTAGACATTGTCTCTCTCCAAGAAGATTAGTAAAAATACAGAAAGATAAGGAGGTATGTCATGACAGCATCTATATAGAGTTTTACTTCAATGGCAACAACAAATGGACTTAAAACTTGCTTTGTAGCAACATGTTACCTACAGATGAGAAATTAAAATAAGTCTGTCCTTTGATGGTAAACAATACTGACCCATTTTCAACAAGACATACATACTGGGTTATTCTTCCTGGTTAATGTGTGGGGATGGAGAAGGGATTCTTGGCATAAAGCATTATACTCTTTCTTACCACGATTTGTACTGATACAAGATATAATGATGGAATAAAGTTAAGCTAACTGGTATATGTAGTCTTTGAACTTATTAATGTATATTACTAGACACAGTTTTTCTAATAAAATGGGCCACCCTCACATTTATGTATTTGCAAAATGAATTTTCCTAAGCATCAGTTTCCACATCTGCAAAATGATGATAATAATAGTACTTACATTGTAGAGTATCAACAGAATTACGTGGCCCATATTAATCTTTTGATAGCCATGAAACACACACACACACACACACACACACAAAGAATTGGTCAGCAGTCCAAACAAAAAGTCGTTTCTATCTCCAACAGGTATCCACACTTTATTACAGATAGAAGTTCAAATCTTTGGTCTGTCACTTAATAGCTATGTTTTCCTAAACTTATTTTCCCCTTTGTGAACATGAAAATAATTAAAAGAATAGTTACAAGGACTAAATGAGGCAATAATGTAAAAGGACCAGAATGGTATGTGATACAGACTAAATTTATATTTGATATTATAAGAGTCACATTACAAAGATTATAGTATCAAGATGTTATATTTTTAAAAGTCTAGACAGCCTCAGTATGGAGATGATGACACGTTTTAGTCAGTTTCGGGACATGAGAAAGAATCAAACAGAAAACAAAGTCTTTTCCAGATTAGCCTATAAAAACAAAGATCAGTTAGGAAACCAGAATTTATCAATGTTCAGAATTTTTATTTATTTCATAAAACATCATGGGCTGGGACATTTTTATGCCCTTGGGAAGCAGAGAAAATCTTTTAAAACAATTTATTTATTTTTCTTATTGTCATCCAGTGGGTAGAGAAATATTGCTGGGCTGCTTTCTATTACTTCTCTGCTTTAGCATTTCAGTTGTCTAAACAGATTTTAGAGATTATTTCTAGAGATTCTAGCCTGGCTTGAATGATGTATCTAGTAAAACTGGTCACTCATTTTTTTTTTTCTAGAGGTAATCCAATGACCTTTAATTTGGTTTCCCGAGTAGACTTATTCACTGGAAAGAAGGAGCCTTGCCATCATAACCAGGGTCTATTCCCATGTCAGGTAAATTTCCCTCTGCCCAAAAAATGGCCTGGAATTTATTTCAATAATCCTTTCTTGAATAGTGACTATGTGCCTCGCATAGTGCCAGAGATAAATGAGCCAGTCTCTTCTTTCAAGGGAGGTAGTATGAAGCGATTGTGGCCTTGTCATGTAGAAGTTAGTCTGATGAAATGTGTTAGGGCTTCTTCTGTAGTCTGCTACACAGCTGTCAGTGAGTCAGTTTTAGAACCTAGATTATATTATATCCCCTGATATAAAAGTGAAAAGTCTCAGCCATTTCTCTCAAGATATTTTCACTTAAATGGGGGGGGGTAGCATGTAAACCTAATTAGAATAGTTACAGTGAGTACTATGATTAGGGGTATACTTTTTAGGAGCACAGAAAAGGAACACTTAGTTAAGCCTTAGGGGAAGCATCTCTGAGAAGCCTTTCTAGAGAAGGCAATGTCCTAACCAATTTTTTAAAAAATATTTTGTTTTTAGAGAGAGAGAAAGAGCACGAGCATGGGGGAGGGGCAGAGGGAGAGGGAGAAGCAGACTCCCCACTGAGCAGGGAGCCCCACGTGGGGCTCGATCCCAGGACCCTGGATCATGATCTGAGCCGAAGGCAGAGATGCTTAACCAACTGAGCAACCCAGGCACCCCTGTCCTAACTGATTCTTAAAGGATGAGGATGAATTAGCCTGGATGAAAAGTATATTCCAGGCAAAGGAGACACTTGAAGGAATGGGAGAGAAAAGATGAAAAAAATGTGTGTGACTACAAGCAAATCAGTGTTGATTAAAAGCAGGAGACTATGGGCTCAGGATAGAGAAGTAACATCCAGATAATGGATGGTCTCATGTGCCATCTTAAGGCTCTTGGACTTTACATGTACAATAAGGAGTGGAACTGTTAAGATAGTTCAATTTGGTGATCATGTAGTGGAGGGGCTTAAAGGTGACAAGACAAGAATTAGGGATTAACTGAATACTGAGAATAAAGAGTTCAAAATAATTCTAAAATTCTAGTTTATACATTTGGGAAAATGGTGGTCCCATCAACTAAGATAGGGCGTACAGGAGGAGTTGTACTCAAGGAGAAGATGATGAGTTCAGTTCAGGATGTTTAAAATTGGAGATGCCCTTAAGATACCCATGTGGAGCTGTCCAGCAGGCAGCTAAATATTACAAGGCTGAAGTTCATGGGACAGGTCTGGAAAGAGTATGAGAGACTTGGGAGACTTATCATATAGATGGTAATTGAAGCTGTCACTCAGGAAAGTATGTAGAGTAAGAAGAGCAGTGGGCTGATGATCATTTCCTAGAAAACACTAATATTTAAGAGATGACCATAGAAAGAGAAGTCCATGAAGAAAACAGCAACTATTCAGAGAGGTACAGAATGAAACGTTTGAGCACATGTTATGGAATCTAAGGAGTAAATAGTTTGAAAAATGCAATAAGCAATAGTATAAAATGCTGCAGAAAGATACAGTAAAATAAAAATTGAAAACTATCAGCTTTATATCAGAAATACGAACATCATTAGAGACCATAATGAGAACAATTTCAGTAAAATAGGGGGAGGAGAGGCCATATTGCAGAAGGTTGAGGAGTAAGGGGAGGTAATGAATATAATTTATACTTCCATTTCCCATGACCATGAAAGAGGTGATATTTTCATAGAGGAAAAACACTTTACTCAGGTCACTATATCTGATATGCTTAACACCACTTCTAGGTGAAACTGTCATGCTCATAGTTTTTTACTTAGGGAAGCAGCACTGAATAAGCTCTTTTTTTTCCCCCCCAAAGAAGCCACTGAATGGACAATGATGGGCATTTGACCCCCTCAATGGCAGCTAATTCATAGGCTGGCTAGTAACACATGACATACCTTGTGATGAAAGGAACTACTCAATAGGGTAATAAACAGGCTGAAAGAGAAATAGAAAGGAATGAACAGACAAACAGAAAGAAGTGAAATCCATTGTTTCTTAAGGTGTCCTGAATAAGTTTCTGCTCTAAAGGAGTTCAATATAACGAAGACATGAATTACATGACATAATTCCTAATGTTGGGGTCAACTTCATTCAAAAAATAGTCAATAAATCTTACTAGGCCATTATTTCTTAATGCAAGGTATATTTGAAGTTTTGTACATTCCTTTTTATGTAAAAAAATGTTGACATAAGCATATTCTGTATTATTACTTTATAAGTAACCAGTGTATTGCTCATGGATATATACATTTGTTTGTTTGTATTACATGAAAACCAAGCAACATCATGGTGTACTGAACTAATGAAATTTCACAATTATATGATAAAATTTTTCAGAGTTGAGTCATCCCAGAATATGATACTATTTTCACACCATGGCATAGGTTAGCTGGACATATAAAGACCTGTGACAAAGAAGTCAATGCCACCTTCATGATGTAAGCAGAGCTATAATGAGAATGTGGTCTTTGTAGAGCAACTTGCAATTGTTTATTAGCTGTAAATAGAGGGGTAAACATGCACTGAATGATTTTTTTCTTTTTCTTTTTTTTAAAAAGATTTTATTTATTTATTTGACAGAGAGAGACACGCGAGAGAGGGAACACAAGCAGGGGGAGTGGGAGAGGGAGAAGCAGGCTCCCCGCTGAGCAGGGAGCCTGATGTGGGACTCGATCCCAGGACCCTGGGATCATGACCTGAGCTGAAGGCAGACGCTTAATGAATGAGCCACCCAGGCGCCCCCAATGATTTTTTTCTGTTCCCAATTCTAGCAATAAATGGATTAGATATCCGTATTATGAAAATTTCAATCCTACCTTTGTCTTCATGTGAGCAAGGCAACTTTACAAAATTATCAAGTTGACACCCTATTAAAACTGGAATTTGATAACTGCTTGATACCAGAGTTTTTATTCAATGTGGTGTCCGATGATCCTAAGATGAGAAAGCCTTAAAGTTATTAATACCATTTTGTCCAGTCTACTTCTACAATAGAGACTCTGCATTGGTATCAGTGAAGTCAAAATATATAACTGGATCCAAATCTAAATCTTTCTACTATAAAATCTAGCATTGGGGTGCCTGGGTGGTGCAGTTGGTGAAGCATCCAACTCTGGGTTTCAGCTCAGGTTGTGATCCAAGGGTTGTGAGACCAAGCCCCGAGTCAGGCTCCACACTCAGTGCAGAGTCTGCTTGAGTTTCTCTCTCCCTTGCTCTCTGCCCCTCCCCCCTCTAAAATAAATACATAAATCTCAAAAAAACTAGCACCAGTAGACATATTAATGTTAATTTTATTTTTATCTGTTTTATAGTTTTATTAAAATTGTTAAGGCAGTTTATGCCTATTTTTATATTGTTGATGTTTAAGTAATAATATATTAAGCATAATTTTAACTCAATCACCGAAGACCCAAAAGAATTAGATTCCTATTAAAATGAATCTATAGATCTACTAATTTTACCACTACTAACATCTGAGAAACAAGGTACTGGCTAGACTAATCACTACACCCAGACTTTCCTCCATTCAACTCATCCTCCAACATACCTTTCAGAACAGTCTTCCCAAAGAGACCTTACTCCACAACTCAAAAAGCTACAGTGAATTTAAAACAAGACTAATTTGGCCTCAACTGAAATTTGAAGTGGTGAAAAAAAAAAATGACAACACTAAAAATTGTAACCAGTTAACTCCCAAAAAGACTTTGGGGGGCTCACAGACTAAAATTCACTGCAAAGGCATATGAAAATAAAAGTGAACAGATTCACTCTAAAGGAAGTAGTTCAGGGATATGAGAATATATGTTGTACACCTGAAACTAATGTAACATTGTGTGTCAACTATACTTCAATTAAAAAAAAATATGTGCATAATAAATCTGACTCTAAAATTTGTGGCAGCTAAGTAAAGGAGAAATTTATGGATGATATACTTTCTATTTTTGTTAGTTTGTTTTACACAAATCCTACTATATCCAATCTGATTTTCCCCTCTTTTCTACTACTCACCCTTAAATCTAGTTAGGCTGGCTTTATAATTTTTCCATGAAGACACCTATACATATTCTAGATTTTTATGTGTCCACCTCTGCCTTCTCCCTCCTCTCTATTAAACTCTACCCATCCTTCAAAGCTCAGTTCAAACCTCACCTTCCTGACCTCTCTGGCCTTCATTGATCTTTCTTTCCTCTAGACTCTGATATCACACAACTCAGCTTTTAATTTTAGCCAGTTTCACACTTTTCACTATCTTTCACTGCCTTTTCAAGAATGTGTCACTTTTATCTCTTTATTAGCTTTCTCAATACTAAATAGCCATTCAACATATACCTATTGGTTCCTTCTCTGAACAAAACTTTTATTGAGGACTTATAGATATAAATGTACCATTTGTTCCTCTATAGACATATTTGTATGAAACAATAAATAGTCTCAGAACTCTACCTTGCCTTTTCAATACTTTCTTTTACTAAAGGTCTAATTGTATAGCTTTGTGTTTTTAGGGGATTTGAGAGAAAAGGATATATATGGTTAGACTGGGGAGGAGTACATAAAATGACATTTAGCAGCACTGAGAGCTCCAATGTTGACCACATAAAAACAGACGACTTGATGGGAAACATTGTTCCTTAGAAGACTCTCTTCTGACCAACCACATCATAATCTCATTCTGAGAGGCTCTATTTTATCCTATTCTGAGCACTAGTTGCAAAATTCAATAACCATACATATCAGAATTTCAATTCAAATGCATTACTTTGTATGCATTACTTCTAAAACAGTAGTGAATACTTTCTTATAGATTAGAATAACTAGACCGTGTAAAAAATACAATTTCTATAAGTATAAAATGTTATACTACATAAATAAATGTATTCTTTTATTTTCTCTAGTAATACAAATAGAGTGAGATTCTATTGAAAATACTGGCTGTGTTCCATGATGACTGTATTTATGAATGGGTCTATTCTGAATTGATATCACATTCTTGCCTAAAGGATTAGGACTTTTCTTTCAGTTGCTATTTTCCTCGACCTCACATGAAATTGTTGACAATTATTTCTTCCACGAAACTCTCTTCTCTCTTGGCTTGCATATTACCACTCTTTCTTAATTTTCAAATTACCTCTTTGCCTGGTCCTTTTCTGTTTCTTTTATAAACTACCATTCTTTTCCTTGTTCCTTATATGTTAGTAATTTTCAGGGTTTTATCCTTTGTGCTTTCCCATATTACTCTATATACTTTCCATGAGCAATTCTCTATGGGTATATTCACCTACTTGCAAAACTTCAACTCTATCTACTCTACCTCCTTTATGCTAATGGATCTCAATTCTACATTCCTTGGGCTCTAGGCTACAGCTTCATTCACCTTCTAAATATTTTTCCTGATTGCTTTGAACCTACCTCATTTTCAAGATCCAAACTGAAATGATTTCCTTTTCTTTGATCCTATTCTCTCCTTCTCACGTCTCCTTATTTTGATGAATGGAACCATGATATGGATTGAATTGGGTCCCCACCCTCAAATTCTTATGTTGAAACCCTAGCCCCCAACGTTACCTTAGAATATGGCTTTATTTGAAAATAGGGTCTTTACAGAGGCAGTCAAGTTAAAATGAAGTCATTAGTGTAGGCTATAATCAACAATGATTGGTATTCTTATAAAAAGGAGGAATTTGGAAATAGACACTCACAAACAGAGAACACCATGTGAAGATGAAGGCAGAGATCAGGGTGATGCTTCTATAAGCCAAAGAATGTCAAAGATTGCCAGCAAACCACCAGAAGCTAAGAAGGTGGCCTGGAACAGATCTTTCCTTAGCACCTTCAGAGGGAGCATGGCCCTGCCAACACCTTGATCTTGGACTTCTATCCTTCCAAGGTATGAGACAATAAATTTCTGTTGTTTAAACCACTTAGTTTGTGGTACTTTGTTATAGCAGGCCTAGAAAACTAATAGAGCCATCATACACCAAGTCATAAAAATGAAAACAAGAAGCCAAAAAAAAAACCCCAACCATCATCTTGGACTCCTTTCTTTTTTTCACCCTCATATTCAAGTGTTCAATAAGTTCAGTTCTTTCTAACTCCTAAAGTATTCTTGGATCAATTTCTTCATCATCATCATCTCCACTGCCATTTTTCTAGGGCAGGCTTTCTTCCATTGCCTAGGCTCATAATAGACCCCTTTTGAATCTCTCCTGCCTCTAGCCTCATTCCCACCCCATCAATATTACATGTTGTTAGGAGAGTCTGGAAAAGAAGCTGGAAATGGCTCCTTATCACCCAGGCAATAAAGAAAAAAATCCAACTCCTTAGTATCCAAGGTCATTTAAGACAATTCATTTTACCAGCTTCTCATACCTATGCTTTAGTAGTGCTGAGCTGCTTGCTCACCCTTGAATATATCATGCTCTCCTATTGCCTCCACACATGCTGTTTACTTTCTTGAAACATGCTTCTCTTCCTTTTTCCTTTCATGCCTAAGAAACTCCTACTAATCTGTTAAAATTAAGCTTGAACTTTATACTGTGACTGTCCTTGTGCTATCTGTCTCCCCCACTTTACTGTGAGCTCTAGAAAGGCAGGGATTGGCATTTGCATCTGTAACCTTGGTGCCTAGAAATATATTAGAATGAATACACAAATGAATATGTCCTTTTGTTTATCCACAAAGTGAAAATATTAGAGCATAATATTCATGAATAAGTTTGTGTGTGTGTATTAAAACTATTCTTTAGGTTAAGTTAATTCAGTTATTATTTTTTTTTGTGGTAAGGAGGGCTGGCCATATCTGTCTTTCATAGTTCAGTATATACTGCAAATCTTTTAGTTTTTCTGTGTGCTTTGAAACCTCCAATGAGAGAGTTCTATTGAAGATCTGTTAGTTCAATGGTCACTATAGGGTAGAGTTAAATTCATCTTTCTACTCTTTAGATCTTTAAAATTTTTTTTAGGTCTGTCAACTCTCCTCAGATATCTTGTAAAAGAATCAAAAGCAGTTAGTTTGCTGCTATAGTCATATAGTGACATAGGAGAAATGAAACACTGCATTACTACACAGAAGGCCTAGTTGCTACTTTCTACTTCAATAACCAAATGTTTGGTTATTGATACCACTTTATTTTGATACCACTTTATTTTATGAAGGGAAAGGGTTAAATGATCCTCATTTCTACTAGGTTGCATAAGTTGTTTAATAAAACTCCACTCTCCCCCAATCCAGTGAGTTCCCTTATCTTGTATTACTGCCTCCAGGTAGCTAATGCTTGAGCACATTTTCATTATCTTTAAATAGTAAGAAAACCATTCCCAGTTATGCATATCTCCCTTTTCTTTCTCCCTAGGTAGGGACAGGGCACCAACATACACATATAGAGCTTAGTTAACACATCACAAAAAACATATTGCCAAAAAATATTCAGGGTTTTCTTGTGAAACAGTAGCAAGTCCCTTTGGACCACAGCATTGGAAGTGTTCCACTAAACCTTTAATGTGAATTTGCTCAATGGGACTGTGCATACAGGTGTAGAACAATTATTAGATTTGATATCTGAATGAGCTCAGGTTCCCATTAGAGTCTGACTGCTTCAATGACCCCATTATTTTGTTTCCACTACTCCCAGAACTGATCAATTTAATTATTCTGACTAACAAAACATTTAGGACATGAATTTCTGATTTGTTTTAAACCATATGGGACATCTAAAAGTGCTTCACTTAAAGAAAATCACAACATAGAAGAAATGACTATGAGAATATGTTAGATGCTTAGAAGTAGGGCAGGGCCAAGATCCACACTGGGTACACAGATACTGTCTTTCCCGGAATGGTCCTCTCTTTAGGTTACTCCTAATGACCAGTTACATCTTAGCAATTTCATTCTTCCCTGGAATACTGAAAACAGAAAGCATTAATTTGGCAATGGGGGTAAGGGCACAGAGGCAGTTGAACTAAAATCATGTGCTCCCTGCTATAATACATTCAGATCCTTAAAACAGCTAATGTCCACAAGGGCAAATAAAACACTTTTCAGAGCAAGCCAATTACAGAGATTCTTTGGCAAGGAGAATATAGAACAAGAAAAGTAAGAAAACGGAACTAACTTTAGAGCTGATGTATAAGGACTATGGCCTTTTACAGGTAGAAAGTAAGATCAAATTATATTTCTTAATAAAAAGCATATCACCTTTGAAATACTGGATTTTGACATTAACTTTAGTTGAAGTGGTATATTAGGAATAGTATGCACCTTGGTAAGAAAAAAAATACACTATTTGACACAGACATATACTGATTCTGGTAAGTCACAGTTACTTCATAACTGGCATTCTTACAAGCAACTCTAACATCACCCATTCTTTCAGTTTATATTAATGAGTATTAAAAAGTTATGTGTTTACCTAAAGGAAAAGAAGGCATAAAAGTATTACTGGTCTCTAAAATTTTACAGATGTCAGTTTATTTCTCATCAGTGAATGCATCTGTCCTTAAAAAGAATCAAAGTGACATCAAAATGGTCCCCTTTACCCCTTGCATCCTTTCACTAATGATATGTAATGGCTGCTGAGCCTGCATTAAATGTGTTTGTGTCCAATCCTATTCCCATCATTTTACAATTCAATCTGATTTCTTTAAAAAAAAAAATGGAAGTCACAGGAAATGAGCACAAGTTCCTGCTTTGAGGCATTCCCTGACATTGGCCTTCACTTTGTACTTCTGCTCAAAGTGCCTAATTTGACAAAGCACACAGAGAGTCAGGAGATAATTCTCTTCACCTCCTTTCTAAAACTGTCTGACAGGAGTCAATAGTGATTCTTTCCAACAGCTACAATCTAACAATTTTAGATGAAAATCTGGGGAAGCTTTCTAGCTATTCCTTACATTATTTTATTATAGAGGGGTGTAAAAATGCATTTGCCTCAGTGGGCTTATTCTCCTCCTCTGGTCCAACTCAATCCAATTTAACAGTTGGCAGTTTAAATAACAGAAGTTACAGGCTGCCGTGCACAGACGCTTTGCATGCCACTTGAAAGCAAAGGATTCAGAGATGGAAGCAAAAAATGGAAAGAAAAAAAGCAGCTTCTCTTCTATAAAAGAATTTCTTTAATAACAGCAGCTGGAAAAAAATTCTCTGAGCTTGTGTCCTTCCCCTACTGTTTTATATAAAGCAGCTATCATACTTTTTTCCCTAGGCTACATCTACTGACAGACTGTCAAAAGCAAACAACTTTTCACCTTATATTGCAATAATCATGCACTGTATTTTTAATGCACTCAAAACAAATTTTCTTATTATAACATCACAGTGACAATCCTCCCAAAATGCTCAATGTAAAATGATATATTTTAAATACGATAATCATAAAGGCAGCCTATCCATAATTACTATTTTTAGGTTAAGTAAAATATCGACATTTTTTATTCATGTTTAGGTTAACATTTGCAATTCAGCTTTTTGCAATATTTAAATGGAATTGAATGTGTTATGGAAAAACTTTTAAGAAAAGAGCAAACGTTAAAACTTGTTCTTTCTTGAGTAGGTTGTCATCCTTACTGTCCACCCATTACTTTCATCATGTAACATTAGAGAAAAACTCAGATTTGATGCTAACTGGATAAGCCTATGATTTATTACATGTTAGCTAAGTCTATATCCACCAACTGTGACTTAACTCAATTTTGAATTTACTTAATGATTATATAGAAAGAATGTCTATTTTTATACAATGTGCTACAATTACAAGGATTAATAGACATAATTCACAAGCTTCTGACACATTCAGATTATAAATTGGTTAGTGTGGGGGCGCCTGGGTGGCTCAGTTGGTTACGCATCTGCCTTCGGCTCAGGTCATGATCCTGGGGTCCTGGGATTGAGCCCCGCATCGGGCTCCCTGCTCCGCAGGAAGCCTGCTTCTCCCTCTCCCTCTGCCTGCCTCTCTGCCTACTTGTTCTCTCTCTCTCTATCTCTCTGTCAAATAAATAAATAAAATCTTTAAAAAAAAATTGGTTAGTGTGAAGGAAGGGGAGGGATCAAATCTGTCATAGTATCTTAATATATATAAACTAACTACATATACATTTGCGCATATAAACTAACTTTGGGAGCAATGATGATGTCTGTAACTTTAAAAAATGCCAATATTCTATAGGTTAGGTCTGAGGGGAGGCATGGCTCAGAAAAATAAATTATTAATAAGTATATAAATAAATGCCTTAAGTGCCTTCCTGTCGAATTATGAGAAATAGCTCTAATCTTGCTATGCACTCCTCCCCTACTAGCTCAGTTTTTGACTCTCGGGCTTTGAAGCACTCTAGAAGGGAAATTAGTTGCTATTTTGCACCACATGGTTACCTTCCCTAAGCATCTCCAGCTTCTATAGCATTTTTAGATGCACCATTACATTATCCACTCCAGGATTCGGTATAGTTTGCTCCCTCTTTGTCTGTCCTTCAGCAAGAGAGTTTTAACTAGTCACCATTTTATCATGAACCTGAAGACCAACTATCCCTGTACTTTTGCTTTTCTTGGGCTAAACATTTTCAAACATGTCCATCCCTCATCATAGATTCAAGCAAAAGAGGCACCTGGGTGGCTCAGTCTGTTAAGTGCCTGCCTTTGGCTCAGGTCATGATCCCAGGGTCCTGGGATCGAGCCCCTCACTGGGCTCTCCACTCAGCGGGGAGCGTGCTTCTCCTTCTGCCTCTGCTGCTCCCCCTGCTTGTGCTCGCTCTCTCTCTCTGTCAAATAAATAAATAAAATCTTTAGAAAAAAGATTCAAGCAAAAAGGAGTTTTTAATACCACATCAGTTCTCAATCCATGCAGGTCACTAAAGTGTTTTTTTTTTTTTTTGAGATATCTATTTCTAAAAAGAACCTTATGAACTTGGATAATAATTTGGGGATAACCATTGAAACATGGAAATTTAGAGCTGGAAGGGAATTTATGGATTACATGAAGATTAACCTCTCATTTTATAGATGATGATACTGACTTCCAGAAAAGAGAACTAACTTGTTGTAAATACTCTGCACAATGAAGATATGGAACTGAGAAGCTTAAAGTAGGGAAAGGGATGTAAGATAATGAACCATATAACCATAATTATTCTATCATTCATTTATTGGATAATATATAATCACAATTTTATAAAATATGTAGTCATGAAGAGAGATAATATGACAGATATTCTGATGATCCTGTATGATAACCATTCTAAAGAAAGTAATTAGGGAGTAACAATAAGTTTAAAACTCCTGTAATTTTATAACACAACATTCAGTATTTTAGTTCTTTGGTAAGGAAAAGTCCACTGGATCCTACATATAAATCCGATAATGATGATGTTTTATATATATCTCCTATAAACACATTTATATCATGTACTGCCCACAAAGTCCTTAAAGTACACATTTACACAAAGACCTGAAAAGAAAAGAACACAGCTGTCTGGGCTAATGTCTTGGTGAGATACGCTTTGGGATGGGTAGATATATGTACCTAGACACAAACATATGTACATATATCTATATATGTATATATTTGATGTTTGGCCCCACATCTTTATTAAAAGGCATTAGATTTCTGTATAGTTTAGATTGAAAAGTTAAAAGCTCATCTACTTGCAAATTTAAGTTAGAAAAGTCAGTGCACTGCCCTTTCTGGTAATTTCAACCTGTTCCACATTGTTGATGGAAGGAGCTCAGAGCTGCTGGTATCATGTTAATGTACACTGTCATTGCTTTTTATCAATCTTTATCCTAATCTTAATGTTATTTACATACAATATGTGTTTTAGTATTTGAGATACTGTTTGTACGGTTTTGCTGTGAGCTGGGTATTTTAATTTAGGTTGAATGGTAATAAACTATGATTCAAAGCCAACTGTCAGAGGAAAAAGTTAAATGGGAGGTCTGTTTCATAAAGTCTTTATTTCCAGTTATTCTCTGATAATGTACAGTGAGCTGTACATTATCAACAGAAGTATTTAGAACTTGACTAGAAAGCAATACCTTTTTTGCATGCATTCTTTATGCCACTTATTTTTGGATACCTGTTTTAAAATGCTATAAATGTTGTTCCTTTCACTGATTTTAACTCAAATTCTTTTTCTGTACAACTACCTCCTTTTTTTTTTTTTTTAAAGATTTTATTTATTTATTTGACAGAGAGAGAGACAGCGAGAGAGGGAACACAAGCAGAGGGAGTGGGAGAGGGAGAAGCAGGCTTCCCACTGAGCAGAGAGCTGATGCTGGTCTCGATCCCAGGACCCTGGCATCATGACCTGAGCTGAAGGCAGACACTGAACGACTGAGCCACCCAGGCGCCCCTGTACAACTACCTTCTTATCAAGGTTTCTTACTCCTGTGAGCCATAAACATAGTGTGACTAAAAGCAAAAGAAGATGGAAGTCTGTGTATACATGGTTTACATATATGAATCTTATTACATTATAGTCACATTTCCTATTTCTAAAATATTTACCTTTCCTCCCAGACTCTTCCTTTTTTTGTTCAAATAAGACAGTTTTTCAGTTCATCTCTCTATGTGCTTCATACAAGTACCCCCTTCTTCCCCCACCTTAAAATATGGGTTATCATCTGGTGCACATTTCCAATCTCAGTTAACATTCCAGCAGTCACATAGAAGCTAGTATTGCAATCATCCCAATGCAGCCTTAATAATATATGATGAGTCAGAAAACATTCTCATAGTTAATATACTTTATTGTACTAATTACCCCTTGATGCTTCTATTTAGTCCTTATCACTTGCTATTTATGATTTCCCACACCTTACTTCAAAAGTTTCCTTGTTTGCCTTATGTGTTGTATTATGTAATGCTATGTTAATTTCCTGTTGTAATTAGTCAGCATGTCAACATCATGCACTAATTTAAATAAAACTTCCAATTTTTTTATCAGCTCGTTTTATTTATTTTTTAATTTTATTATGTAGCTCATAAGTTTTATTTAATTGAAATCATTAAGTAGACAATCTTGCTTCATGTTTGGATTCCACTTAAACTGCTTATATAATTTTGAATTGCTTTGTATCAAATCTTCTATATGCCCTTATAATAATTTTTATAGCAACAGTATACATTAAATGAGGAAAAGCAGCACACTTTTTTAAAAAAAGATTTCTCTTAAAAATATGCAGCTTTCTAAAAAATTATTGTATATGTTAAAAACTATACTATGAGCCATAACACACAGTGTGCCTTCTTTTTGTTGGGAACTAGCCCCTTGAAAAGCACCATGGCAGAAAAGAGCAATGTCCTAGGCTCTGAAGAGAATTGCCTACTGAACTGATGCCTAGTTTTTGTCAAACAAGGATAGGGATAATATTTCAGACCTCACATGGTTACTATCAAGATCAAATAAAATCTTCTCTGTAGAGTACCAAGGAACAATGTGTGGTACATAGTAGGCATTCAATTCATTCAGTGTTAGCTGCATATAAATCTGAACCTTAGCTGTGTGTGCCAACCTGGGGGAAGGGAGAACAACTATCAACTGACAGGTAAAGGTCAAGAATGAGCTACTGAGTATTGAGAGGAAGGTAGAGAAAATAAGCAATAACAAGCTTACTCTTTGTGTATTTATTTAGGGGGGGAAAGAATTTATACAGAGGAAAGATTTAAAATGCAGATTGTCAGGATTTATGAGGAAAAGATTTCCTCTTTTCTCATTACTATAATAAACAGTGATCAAAAATGCCTCATCAGCCTATGGAAGATAATGAAGGGAACTACAACTTCAATTACATCCCTGATTTATAGATAATGTTGCAACATCTCAAACACTGAACATCATATTTACCACGATCTATTTGCAAAGATGTGTGTTATGTGTTTTAGGGGTATGATGGGGAATCATTTTTCATTTCATTCTTTTCAAATTACAATGCACTTAAATAACTGTTCCAGAAAGAAAATGCAAATGCACATTAAACTATATTCCTTCAAATTCTCTTCTAATATGTCTCAACATACACACATTATAGATATAATCAGTGTTTATATACTCTCTTGTGATCTAATTTTTTTTTTTCCTTTTTTTAAAAAGATTATTTATTTATTTATTTGACACAGAGAGAGACAGATAGAAAGAGAGCACAAGCAGGGGGAGCAACAGAGGGAGAGAGAGAAGCAGGCTCTCTGCTGAGCAGGGAGCCTGACGCAGGGCTCAATCCCAGGACCTCGAGATCATGACCTGAGCCGAAGGCAGACGCTTAACCAAATGAGTCACCCAGGCGCCCCGTGATCTAATTCTTTCACTTAACATTGTTTTGTGTAGACATTTCCATGAATTGTCATGCGATGGAACCACCATCAAACTATTATTACCTGTTTCCCTACAGCTCTCCCAACACCTCACTTTGTGCTTAGACATTCTAATAGATATATGTTTCTACCTTACTATTGTTTTATTTTTGAGAGAGAGAGAGAGAGAGAGAATGTGAACTGGGGGGGGGGAGAGGGGGGGGGAGAGAGAGAATCTTAAGCAGGCTCCACACCCAGCATGGAGCCTGGCACAGGGCTTGAACCCAGGCCCCTGAGATCATGACCTGAGCCAAAATCAAGAGTTGGATGCTTAACCAACTGAGCCACCCAGGTACCCCTCCACCTTACTGTTATTTTAATTTGAGTTTCTTCACTTGATGGTGAAAGGTGTGTTTTTCCATGTGATGATTTATTGTGTATGTTTTTTTTTCCCTGTAGACTTCCTCTCCTCACGTCTTTTTTTCCTTATGTGAACTGCCTTCTGAGCCACGTCTGCAAGCCCCTCACATATTATGTATAATATCAACATGGCCAAATTTGTTGATTACTCTGGCAAAACTGTATAACTAAATGATACAGCTATATACCTAATCATTGCCAATTCTTCAATGCTTTGAACCCCAATATCCAAATGGTCTTCAATTCCTCTGATAAGTCTCTAAAATTTTTCTCAATCTATTCTTCTCTCTCCCAGATGACTTTGGTCTCCTCACAGTTTTATTTACTTTTTAATTGTTTTTTAAAATTATATTTGTAGAAAGAATTACTATCAGAGACCCTTGTGGTGTTAATGAAAGACTTGCCCCTCATGTAGCACACTACCTACACTTGTGGGTTCATCAGCCAGCCAGTAGCCTCAGCTGTAAGCTCTAAGGATGTGCAGTCACAGTTGGTTTTTACAATCTAGCCTAATCTCATTCACAGCCCAGCCTTGTATCACCATTGTTCCCATGAGTTCTACATTACATCTAATTGGACTACTCATTGTTCCTGAATATTTCTTCTTGCTTTTCTTCTACCAGGTCTTTGTTCACATCATTTCACCCCCCCTTATTAGGCTCTGGTCCCCTTTCTGACTACTCCAAATGCCTGTCTTACACATCCTTTATATTTCATCTCAAATATGAATGACTTCCTAAAGCTTTTTCTGATATTTCTCAACTGAATATGGCTTCTCCTATCTATGAACCCCAGAGCAGTTTGTAGCTTCTTTATTTTCCCAGGTAAGAATTATTTATTTGTTTTATTGCCTTGGAACAGTTTGTAAGCTATTGAGGACAGAGGCTGCAACTCATATTTTTCTGCAAATGCTCTACACAGAGTAGGTGTTCAGTACTTTTTCTTGAATTAAATATTCTCCAAGGTTTGAAAATTCTTATGACACCAAGAACACTGTCTCATACATTTGCATCATCCCAGCACTTAACACATATATGGAATGAATAAAAATAA